CAAGATATGTCATCTAAACTTAACGTCATCCAATTTTCCATCCATTTTTAAGGGTAGTTTAGTCTTTCTAATATGTAAACTAGCTCCTTTTTCGAACAAAAAAAAAATGGATGGAAAATTGGGGGCGACTTGGAGAAAAGGGCTGGTTTACTTTCTTTTTTTCTTTTTTTTTCCTTTAACAATGTTTAGGTTAAGTGTGGAAATGTGTCGAAAAAATAACGAAGGGACGGGGATGAGACAAGAAAAATAGGGACAATGGATTTCATTCCGTAAGATTGGGAGCTTGGTAACAACACCCCTCTTTTTGTCTTTTTCCTCTAAAATGAAAAGACTAAAATGCCCTTAAAAATGGATGGAAAATTGGATGGCCTTAAAGTCAGATAACAAATAATGAATTTTGAAAAATTAAGGTGACATTTCTCTTAAATTTTTCTTTAATGTGATAAATGGAAATTTATGCATTAGTTCAGATCTACAAAAATCCCAATTTATATCATAAGAAAGATTACATCCGATTCACCACAACCCAGACAACCCGACCCAAAAACAAGAGAGATTACAATTCAACCCAGATGGGCCAAAGCGGCCAGATCCATTTTCTCCTACCGGAAGTCCCAAAACTTCAAATCTCCAGATTCATAGTAGCGGTAGCGAAGACACTGAGAGGAAGCCATGAACCTCCTCACCAGAAACAGACCCATAGCGAGACCATGGCCCACCAGAAAACAACCCTCATACAGGTCCCCGCTCATCTACCTCACTCTCCTCTTTTCCCTCTTCTTCTTCTTCTCCTACTTCTTCTCTCTCACTCCCAGTTCTCTCCTCTCTAACAAGACCTCAATTTCCGATTCCCCAAAATGCCCCTCCCTTGGAGGAGGAAAGTTCCTCTGGTACGCTCCCCACAGTGGCTTCAGCAACCAGCTTTCCGAGTTCAAGAACGCCGTTTTGATGGCCGCCATTTTGAACCGGACCTTGGTTGTCCCTCCGGTTCTCGATCACCATGCTGTTGCTCTCGGTAGTTGCCCCAAGTTTGGGGTTTTAAGTGCCAATGAGATCTGAATTTCGGTCTGGGATCATAGTTGAGCTCATTCGGAGTGGGAGGTATATCGGTTTCCTCCGTTTCTCATTTTGTTGGTCTATTTGGGGTAAAGGTGTTGAATTTTGGTGGAATTGGAATGTGGGTTTGATTGGTTTGTTTTAGTTTTCATGTTAATGGCCTCAACTTGTTTTTGCTTGACCCATTGTTCGGTTTGTAAAATGATGCTAGGAAGGTTTTGGATTTTTCTTTTTTGGTAGGATTGGCATGTTGGTTTATTAGGTTTGTTTTGATTTCCATGTTAATGGTACCAAATGTGTCTTATCAAACTCACTTGATGTACAATTATGATATTTATTCATTTGTTTCGATATTTTTTATATTTACAATACAACTATCTTTCTCTCTTGTTGCAGGTATGTTTCCATGGCTGACATTGTTGATATATCATCATTAGTTTCTTCTTCTTTAGTTCGAGTCATAGATTTCAGGGTTTTTATATCCTTATGGTGCAATGTGAACGTAGATTTTGCTTGCTACAATGAGTTGGATAAGCATGCCTCTTTGCTTGAAAGACTAAAGCAATGTGGATCTCTAGTATCTGGGCTCAATGGTGATGTTAAGTGTTTATATGCTGTTAATGAAGACTGCAGAACTACTGTTTGGACATACCAAAGTGGTAATGAGGATGGGACATTGGAT